TCTCATGACCAGTTGTGGAGAAATCTCGTGGGCCGTTGTTGCCTCATTGAAGTAATGGGGGTATCTGCAGTTTTTAGTTGTTGTACCTTTTGTCCTATTCTACCTCTATAGAATCGTTAGAGCAGAGCCCCGTAGCTGGATGCAGTGACGGTCGCCCTATTAAAATATGCAGTGAAAGGCAAACAGATTGCCTAGTTCGCATTCTGCTGGCTACATGATCCATAGATACTTTGGCAGATTTTGAATAATTCATACTGACACAACTGTGAAAAACGGCGCCTCGGTGGGATTCGAACCCACAACAGTAAGGTGAAGGCTTTAGTACTGCCAACGTTCTAACCACTTGAGCTACAAGGTTCCGCCGGACGACGCGAGTTTAATCACATTTGGGTCAAGTTACCCGCCCAACCTCCTGCAACTTCTGGAATCCACCAAATCTGATACAGTAAGTTGACTGCCCAAGCAGGATTTCCTAAGTAATTCACCTAGAATCCACCAGATGACTACCAGGCTCACGTAGTTCGTAGATGTTTAGGCAAAATCTGCCAAATAGTTGTCAGTTCCAATTTCCATGCCTTAGCAGAAGATGCCTTTTGAGGACTTAAACAAACGTCAATATCCCTGAGGATGTAAGACTGTTAGCGCCTCAACTGCAAACAAATGCTAACTAGCGAAAATTAGGTGGTGTATCGCGTAGACTGGACGTTTCTACCGTTGTTCCACTTCGTGATCAACAAACTCAAACTCCCTTGCTCAACGAACTGGCCACTACAGGCTGTAGTTTCCCCACTTTCATGCTCACTTGCTACATAATTTAATGAGCTCGGCGACACTCAGAAATATATGTTCCCGTTTAAATTACCTGTAGACTCTTTGGGTAGGTATTCCCCCTGGCAAACCAACTGGTACGAGCGTTGTTGCCGGCGTCACCCTCCTCGCCGCTAGGCGGACATGCGTACACCGTATCCCATGCCGGTGTTTGTGAATTCCACTTCGCCTCATCAAGAAGACGTGCCTACAAAACTCCAACAATTCGACCCCTCGCACATCAGCCAACAAGATGTTGGAGAAAGCTGCTGGTTTCCATTACTTCGTTGACCATGTTTGGCTAAGAGAAAAGGGTAGATTTGTGGCACTCAACCGCACTTTTTACCGGTGCTAGGGCAAATTATAGGATTTTATAACGCCCGCCGACTCTTAGCGGAAATGTTGGTGCAGCGTGCGTCTCACGTGCGTCCAGTCTGAGTTACGACGCGATCCAACTAGTTGCAGCAGGCCACCGATTGTTGTTGGGGCCGCCGCATGCATCGACGCGTCCGAAGGAGGCGACCCGCGCGTGCTTGTGCATGTCGGATCCGTCTTGAGTTTCAACTGCCTTTTGCGCAGAGCATGCCGTGGACGTTTATTATTGGCTGTGCACCCGCCCCTACCTTCCTCCCCCTCTAGCTCCTACCTTTCCGAGTAGATACCGTCTGCATCCGTGACACGGCCGGACATGTCCTCTAGGTAGGTCCTAGCCAAATGACGATTTCGTGCAATATGACTCTCTGAAATTATTCATCGAGAAGCTCCGATGGCTCGCATAACATGGCCTTCATTTCTTCCGTAGGTTCGCGTGACGCACTGTAACGCTTTTCAGTACCTGCTTGAGTGACTCACAATTCCGACCAGGTGGATGACCGTCCAGGATCCGGTGCGCGTGCTCCCAGATTTTTACTCTGTAATGCAATTCATCTTCCCACTGCACTTATCAATGTTTGCGCTGCTGAGACCGCGCGGTCATGCTCTCAGTATTGTTGTCTGCGCCATGCTATCAGAGCGTAGATGAAGTCGCTAGCTTAGTTCGTTTAAATTTCGATGGTTTCTAGGAGCGGTGCCGTGAAAGACGGGGGGACCACTCCTTATTATGTCATTGTAAGCCAACCGTAATGAAACCCTGGGTGAAGAAGACCTGGGGCTCTGGCCATTTAATCGAGAGCTCTACCTCTAAATTACGGGTTCGCGTCCAATCGGTTGTTGTCGGGACTATTCAAGGTCACACTGGGTTGGTGCTCGCTGATTTATCCTAACTGCACGAACGGAATACGGGTGCTTCCTTCAGGCCTCGGAGTCTTCATCCCAAATCCGCGCAGCCTTCAGTGGCCAATCACTGGTCAAGCATTCCAGCAAAAAACAAGGGAGACTGGAGTGATTGTTTCTGGCTCGTCCGCCGCCCACGGTCAGCCATGAGCCTAGGCTGGGTGGGCCGGGGTCTCTAAATTCGCCCTATTCGCAAGTAAAATCTTCTTTGCCTTCAGTTCGGGGTAATGAGTCGTCTCATTTGCCCTGGGCCACTTTTCTCCTGAATGGACAAAACAAGAAGAAGTTGATTTTCGAGTAGATGCCTTTTGCCGAGTCCTCGCCAGCCATTAGTAAAGCCCACGGAACCTTCGAGCGTGCATCGCATTCTTCTACTAGATGGCATTAACCGAAAACACAGATTGCCAGCGTAGAAGAGGTTGACCTTAGACGTCGTTGAAATGGACTGGATCAGCAATGATCATAGTCACAATAGACGCAAGTTAGTATACAATCGTTGCGAGTTTTGTGAACTGCACCTAATGATTCATCGGGTGTCTAAGCCATCGTTACTAAAGTTAACAGGGCGAATAAGAGCTTCTTCTCTGCGTAAATGGATAGCTTGCTGTACCAGAAGATGAAGATGCGATCACTGGAACAAGAAATTTATTGGTCTGGCGTTTCGGACTCTCACTCGAATCCATCATCAGAGACATTCGCAGATAAAGGTGATGGTGGCACCAGGAGTGCAGTATTTATAGCACGTGGCTGCCGTGGACCGTATGCGCACTGCAATTAACAATTCTCGCAATCAGCGCTGAGGTCGTAATTGATGCGGTAATGGCTTGTCAGTCCGCGTCCGAGTCGTTAATTGCCGTGATTTCGTCACCCGTGCTGGATGCTGGTGTGACGATTGTTCGGCAAACTGGCTCACTGTCACTGTGATAATTGCTCGCCCGCGCCCTCCCCACGTGACTGATTCTCCTGCCCAGGGGAAATCGCAGCATACTATGCTATAAATACTGCACTCCTGGTGCCACCATCACTTTTATCTGCGAATGTCTCTGATGATGGATTCGAGTGAGAATCCGAAACGTCAGGCCAATAACTTTCTTGTTCCAGTGATCGTATCTTCATCTTCTGAACTGCTACGTGGAACTCGCTTGTTCGCTTCTGGGAGCTTGCTGTATGTCAGGCGATTGCGTTTATTCCCTAAAAATAAAGAGGATCGTAATTTGCCCGTAGTGGCTGTTTTTTTCTCTGCCAAGTGGTTAGTTTTACTTTTTTGAATAATCCCTTTTGACCAGCGTGCAATAATTTGCAGCACTTGCGTGCAACTCTTCTGACTCACAATCTGTTCTTTTTACTCTCAGTCCGACTCATCCATTTCGACCTACAACCACTGAGCTCTAGCGCCATCGCCTCACCCTCTGCCTTTCCGTGAATGTCATCATGGTAAGCCTTGGGCAAGTGATGATGCGTAATGTTGTTGATCCGGTGAGACTATTTGCTGAGATGCGTCTGATGCTTTCTTTCATCCAATTTCAAAAAATTACGTTGCCTTTTAGCCGCCTACCTCCTTCCCCCCCCCGATGAGTTTAAAAGGTGAGTCTAAACCACGTGTGACTTGCACATACCTCTTTTCTCTAGACGCTAATGATTTATTTCCCAACGTTGATCTGAAAACATGACATTCAATTTGTCAGTCGTATGGTCGTAGAAGCAATCTGGAATGTGCAAGAGGCTGTCTTCTTCCAGCGGACTACCCATCAGTTATCGGCTCTCTGCCGGCGACCTGGGGCAGTTGGTGCTAGGACGCATCTTCGAGTGAAACCCAGGTACTCCGTTCGTGTTCCCTATTTGTTTTTCTGAAAGCGGCTTAGACTTGCAAATACTTAAGATTTTTTAAATTATTTCTAAAAGAACTTGACCTTGGTGAGGTCGAAATTGCCCGGACGGTCGGGGCATCTGTATGAATTATACGTTTAACTCACCCATAACAGTGTTTGCTGCAGAAATAATTGCTTATCACAGTCGTTGCTTCAAGCATAAACCCCTATTGCGAGTAATTTCTGCGTCCTTATATGGAACCAAGCCAAGTGTGCTTGTGAATGGCCCAGTGTCTGCACTTTTTGCCCTGAAATGGAGCACTCGGTAGCTGCGCTGGACCAGTACGGAAGCTAGATCGGGTTCCGGTAAGCGTTATTGGAAATGCGCGCCCATAACAAATGTCGACATTATGGGTGTGACAGTTCTCCTAAGTGCAGGCCCTTGCCGTCCCCACATTTTGTTGTGTAAAATTCTGGTCGGCTGTACGTGCGGACCAGGAGAGAGGGTGGTAGTACGCCTAGATGTGTTGGTTGTCGCCGTGCCAGCCACCTACGCCTGCCTGCCCTTCCAGTCTTCTTGACCGTCATGACACCGAGCCCCGGTGTGGAGGAGAGAGTGTGGTAGATGCTTCGCAAGTCTACTGTCACTATAAACGAATTCACACACAAATTTCCGTCCCTGCTGTGGAGCGCACAGTGTAAATCGTCGGTCACAACGGTCGAACTATCGTCCGGTGTTATCGTCACCACAACGGACTGCGCTGAGTCTGCGGAAGCCTATAAGTGCCGCCGTACATTCGTGTGGTAGCACGTCTTAGGCATTTATGCCGCATCAGCCACTGTGTCCAATGTCATCAGTTGATCGACAGGCTGGGCAGCTGAGAGATTGACACGGCAAATCCGTGCTTTTCTAATCAATCACACGGGTTAGGGATCATGGCTCGGAAGGTTGCGAACTGATGTAGTAACTCGAGAGCCAAGTTCATCAGGACTGAGAACCAAGTCACAATAACCACTTCATAATGTGACACGACCTTTAGTGGAATTTAACGAACTCGCGTTAGGCGAGCAAGCTGTTGCGGACTAGCAGCGACAGGACTGATAGGAGTAAGGCTAGGGTCTGGAAAACCACCTACCCTGTAGTATGCCACAGAGTCCGCTGACGACAGCGAGGCATGGCGACCGCGAGTCTCCATTAAATACGTCCTTTTTACTACTACTGCCTACCAGGCTGACCCTCCACCTAAGGACGACGTTCAGAACTAGAGAGCCGGACTTTCGCCAAATCCTCTAGTTTGCATCTAATGCAACTACCTAGATGACGAAACTCGACTCATGCTAGGGCGCGCCTGCATGAGCTGACGCGTCTGGACCTCTGTCAGTGGGTCAAATGGCTAGTAGGCAAGTCAACTTGGAGTAGGAAGAACTGCCCATCGCATGCAGAGACCTGAGAACTCTTCTTTCAGGGGCAACCCAGAGCCTAACCATGTCAGTGTAAGGACAGTATGATGTGTGTACGTTGACCACCAGCTCCCCAGCGGGCGTTCGCCAGATCATGGTTCGCGCGGCAAATAAAGTGCCACTTTTCTGGAAACTGCATTGGCCTCCACCACAGTGATATCCTTAACGGCCATGGTCGATTTGGTGTGCAAGCAGGCCAAAGCCTCACTTATGCGTCGAAAACCAGTGTCAACGATGATTACGCCTGGAGATGCTAATAGTATGCAAAGTGCGGCCTTTTATGACAAACCTCTGACGTCTGTCCGACTGTCCCTGGCGTATCGGTTACTAGAATGCTACGACCGGAAGTATAACACGTATGCACGACCATGCAGTGGATTTTCTCGATGGGCTGATGTAGGTTTTAGGCTTGCACATAACTTCTAGGTACATTTGAATGCATTTCGGGAGGAAGCTTTGTGGCTCTTTGTCACTTGTAGAATTGTTGCTTTGTGTTTATCGTGGTGCGAAGACGTTATTTGATGTTTCCTAACTGAATTTTATGGGTGCGTATACTCCGAGTTTCATCCCGAGCCCCTTTTGTCGACTTTGACGAAAGCATAATGTTGCAATCTAGATGCCTGGTTCCCGTTCTCCTACTGGGGTTTTCTGGTCTTCCGTAGTTATCAGTTCTCTGACAATTTTTGGACTAGATTCCCAGTCCTAGGACTTGAAAAAGTCCTTATCTTCGTTTACTCTTTTTCCAACCGTCTTAAGGCTCATTCTCTCATATTATTTATCTCATCCTTTAAGTTCTGTAATTACACTGCACTCCACTGCCCGTGGCCACATCTCATTTCCAGTCGCCTTTACTGGTACGATTGCTGAATCCCACATTAGAAGCCAGGGCTCTTATAGGATTCCCATAATGTGATGTGTAATTAACTAGGTGTTCATAAAACGGCTTGGCATTTTTCGGGATGAGAGGTTTCATATTTGTTATAAACCGTGCTTAACGTTCCGTGCACGTCTAGCTCTCTCACCCTCTCAATTCGTTTACTCGAAGGCGAACCTCCACTTCTCTCATCGTAATGCAGCTTTATTTCGTGCAGGCGATTAACTAGCGTACACGTCTTTTTTTACTCAGATCGCAGTTTGTATCAGACAGAAACTATTATTCTCTCCCTTTTGTGTGCTGAACATCTTGTTGCTTTTTTACCACTTTTAGACCTGGGTGCCAGGCGCATCCGTTGGACTCCCGTCCGTCTTTGCCCTATATCTTGCTATCGAAGCCCATTTCCTATGGATCTAGATGACGCCTCGATTTGTTTCAGGGTCTTTTTCTCCTATATCTACTGCTACTCAGATACTGTGAGAATGAAGATGCAGTCCAAGATTATTACCCCTCAATTCTTATCTTCGTTCATCTGTCCAGACATTGCTTCCTTTTCCGAATTACCTCCCTCATCTTTCTGGAATCCCTTTTTGCTCTCCCCTGCCTCCAGCTTCTACGACTTTACCCTGAATTGCACCTGTTGCAATGGTGTCGCTCTCCAGGACACGGATTCCGATTGTCATACGCTTCTCCGCAATCTTTGTTATCGCATTATCCCGTACAGTCATCTACGTCGTATTTCATATTCTAAGTCCACCCGATAGTTGTCACCCACAAGTGCGTGTCTCTGTCAGCCAGAAGTCCGTTTCGAGTGTCCAGCTCGCAGCTTTTGGGCAACGACTTGTGGTAGTGGGTTACATCTGCACGCGTCCACTTTGTACTCAGGCATTTGTGAGTCGAGGTAAGGAATCGGGTCGATGGTACCGGATTGTCCACTCTGGACCAGCTGTTATTTGATCCTCGCGGCTCTGTTGCGCGTACTGGCTTCGGACTGATAAACGATACGGAAACTATACCCTATGGTAGTACGTTCAGTTGCCTTGGAAGCATTTTCTTGGGAATGACGTAGCTTTTCTGACCTTCGGTACTGTTGTTGACTACGAAGACGCCTGTTTAAGAGTATCCGTCCTTCATTAATTAATCACGTTCACGCTAGAGCTGGTAGTTTTAGGCGAATGCCAAAAGCGTCTGGTTTTACAGAACAGACATCAAACAAGCGTCGTGCATGTCCCGGCCGATATTAGCCAATGTAGCAGATGTATAAATAGGCCGAACTCGTGCGGCCTAGTTTTCGTCTGTGTCAGCGCTAGCATATTAACTAGGTGTGCCCCTTTGACCACTCGAAACGAATTTCGTGACTGCCGCCTTCGATAGGTACTGATGGGTGTGGTCACACGGCTGCCCTTTGAGTGAGGCGCGGTTTTCCGTACAGCGTCTGAGAACTCACAAATGCATTTCTGCGAATGTCTTAACACCTCACTCGTGTGCTGACATGTTTGCGGTCGCAAAATTTATTGGGCATCGACTGGTTCTCGTATTTTCGATTCTTCTCTTGGGATTTTCGTGCATGGCGTCTAATTCGTTATACAGATTGATGCATGACTCATCTGAGTACATGGCGTCAAGAAATTCTCGGCCTTTTTGGTAGGCCGGACGCCTACGTTGCGAGTTTTGTCCCGTGCATACGTGTGCCCGGTATTTAGTGTATCCATGGCCACTTGAGATAAATGGTCTCGCTTCTTAACAGCTAACTCATGTTCGTGGATGCGCGTAGAGGCGCACTTTCCAGTTTCGCCACAATTTACGGTGTTGCATGCATCGCATGGGATCTTGCAAACGACTTCCTACAGATAGCCAACCCTATCCCTAGGGTTTACAGGCGGACTTCGTAACAAAGTCGCCGGTCTGCTCGCCGCTTGTATTCAGTGTTTTCTCGGTCGTCCTTCAACTAGTTCAGGCACGTTTATAATGAAAGGGAGGGTTCGCCGTGCGACAGGATGAGTCGCTCATCAATCGGCCTAATGAATTAGGTGGCGTGTACAAAATTTCACTGAAAAAAATGGAATAGACAGGAGCCAATCGATGCCCGATAGCGTATGTCGAGGGCACTTACCGGCAGAAACGCCAGAGGCGTATTGGTCTTTGAGATAGTTTGAAATTATGTTTTCTGTCCATGGCCGATTGATGCATGATTCGAAGGGCTGCATGGTTTCAGGGGACTCTTCCCTTCTAAGAGGGGTAGACTCCGGGGATGCGAGTTCTGTTCCTCACTAGGGTGAGCCCAGTATCGAGGGTGTGCATGGCCATCTGAGACAAGTGGTCTCGCCTTTTAACTGCCAGTTGGTGTTCATGGGTGCGTGTAGAAGCAGAGTTCCGTTTGGCCACAATAAAGCGCATCGCATGCTTCACAGGGGATCTCGTCGACAACTTCTTATCAAGATAACCAACCCAATCCATAAGGTGTACAAGCTAAGTGCGCAAAGTGGTCGTCGGCTAGTGCGCCACCTTTATCCGTTTTTCCCTTTAGTGTCTTTCAACAAGTTCAGAAACATTCCTGATGTGAGGGAGAATTCGCCAAGTATTTGCTTTGGTTGGGACTATCAAGTTCCTTTGTTTTTATCTCACGCTATCTCCTGCATCAACGTACTAAATCTCTGGGGTAACCGTTCTGGAAAAATAATTCAAACAGGTAATTTAGCTCAACTTTGTAGCTTTTGTCATCAGAGCAATGTGTTTTTGCTCAATGTAGCAGACTTTTTACAGTACTCCGCTTGTGAGAGATTGGGCCGTTGCTCTCGTAGTGCAGTATTATTTCCGCGTATGTTTCTTTGCGGTAAACGGAATTGTGTAATGTTCCGTCAGTCTTTCGCTGTACGAGGGCATTCAGAGATGGGAGTTTACTGTCAACTTCAATTTCGAGCGTGAATCTAATCCCCGGAATGGCTGAGTTCATGGTGTTGTGGAGTGTTTCCAGTTGATCCTTTTTAAAGACAACAAATGTGTCGTCTACATATCGTACCCAAAACTTGGGGTTAACTAGTGGAAGAACTGCCGATTCTAATTTATGCTTTGTCACCTCGACAAGAAAATCAAATATAGGTGATCCCATTAGAGGTCATTTTAGTTGCTGATGATATTGGTGCTCGAACGAGAAATTGGTTTATAAACAAAGGTCTATGTATTCAAGTAAAGTAGCTGCAGGAACATCCGTGTCACAGGTCTTGAGGTGTTCAACTGTGCATTGTCTTGCGAAATCTAATGGTATGGTTGTGAATAAAGAAACGACATCAAAGGAGACCATTATCTCATCAGCAGAAACTGATTCTTCTCAATTTCAAAAGAAGAGGAGGCGTTCACCGGGAGAGATGTATTTGGGGTCTGACGTTTCGAGTTTCGGCAAGGCAGGTACAAGAAGCCTGGATGTCTACCGACTGTTCTGTCAACCGCCACATCAATTTACCTCCCCCTTATCTGGTTTCACGGACATTCTTGACGGGGGACAGTCACGGCGCGGGACAATCGGGGCCGCCAATTTTCACCGCGGCCGACGAAGATGGGCGGGATTCAGGTCACGGTGACATGCAGGTCGGATGTAGCCACACAGGCGGCATTGGTGGGCCAGGCATTGAACAAAGTGCGCCATAAAAGGAAAGCTGTGTGCACGACTGCTCAGTCCCTGAAGATGGGTAGAAGAAACGACTACTCGAAACGTCAGACCCCAAATACACCTCTCCCGGTGAACGCCTCCTCTTCTTTTGATATGCCACCCGGGAATCGCATTTTCACTCTTCTCAATTTCTCTAGAATCTCTATAGAGTTCTGAATGGGAGCTTCATAATCTTTCATAAGTGGGTTGAGTTGGTTGGATGCCCACTTAAAAAAAATTCGTTATTTGGTGCACTGACTAACGGTACTATCAGTCGCAATGGTATTTCAGATTTGTGGAATGTGGCAGTCTGTAGATCTTGACGATGGTTGGTTCGCGTTGTTTCAGGAATTTTGCAATATATTCTGACAGCTTTCTCCTTTCTGTAAGGCGTCCCAGCACTTTATCAGTAGATTAATTTTGACCCTTCGTAGAGTCCATGGAGAGAGGCTTGTACGTTGAGTTATCTTCTAAAAGCGACGGAACGAAGTACTTTCAATCAGTCAGCCAAGCCAAATACTTGGCAAACTCTCCCCTACATCAAAAAGGTGTCTGAACTCGTCGAAAGGAACTTAAAGAAACCAAATTCTGATGGCACGCAGACCAACGACTACACTACGTACTCAGATAATACACCTTAATGAGATGTTTGGCTGTTTGGATAGAAAGTAAGTCGTCTACGAGATCCCATGTGAGGCCTGTGATGCAGTTTATTGTGCCCAAACAGAAAAATCCGCCTATACACGCATTAACGAACACCAACTAGTAGTAAAGAGGCGAGACCACCTGTCTCAAGTTGCAATGCATACCCTGGGCACGGGGCACACCTTTGCTTGTTGGGTAGTAACGCAGATTTACGACCCCTAGTATGACTTTGTAACATCGACGCATTAACAGGTATCTTCTAAGGGAAATCTGGCATGCGCTTTCAACTCATTCCTACTTTTCCTAAGCGTCCTCTCTCACACGTGATATGGCACACCTTACGGGTTATTCCCTTTTAGCGTCTCCGAGGACACTATTTGGGAACTTCTAGCCTCGCGATGCCACGTTCTTCCGCCCGCATTTGGTTCGCTCTAGCAATTGAAAGTGACTTTTCCCTTAGAACTAAATATTCTTCAGTAGAACCCATGTCATGATAACTGTCTATGCTTTGTCTGATGTTTTTACGACCTCTGTCAGGAAGGGTTCTTGCAAACGATGGGTTTACTTGAATTATCAGCCTCACTTTGCTCTTTTCCTAAATGGGAATTTAACGCCGAGAATTCTCAATAATTGTCAGAGGAAGTGGAAAGAGAAATAAAACCTCAATAACATGTGAAGGTTTCACCTAGAATTGCATGGTTAACATAGGCCTGGGAAAGGCTTCAGTCGCATTGGGTTAATCTGGCCTTTGGCGTTCCGTAAACTGTTTCCCCAGTCCCCACAAGGCGCTGCCTAACAATCTCCACCTGTCGAAGGACGCTTTGGGTGTTCCTTGCTGCCTTATAAAATGTGTTGATATATCAGTATAATGATAAAGTCTCTCATTATGGAATTTTTTTATCGTCATTATGTTCACTTTCAAGCTAGATCGTCACTCTTGATATTTCCGTCTAGCATAGTCCTCAAATCAGCTGACTTAGTGGGAAATCATTTGCTAGCAAAAACTGGTACCAGAGAAACCTCGGGTCTACTGCATTGTTCAAGCGGATGAGACGCGCAAACTATGAAATCCCCCTCAAATCAGTTAAAATTGTTGTGGAAAGGTTCAGAAGTCCATGTGTGTGCACTAT